TTCTCTTGTGAGAAATAAGCAGAAGAAACATTAGCTTGTTACTTTCAAAAGGAAAATGGACAATTGTCATAAATGGGAAAAGGTAAAATAAGCAAATAGATCTCTTTCACACTGATTTATGTGTTTTGCAGTTGTGACCTTCAAAAATTAATGGGCAGTGTTATACTAGCTCTTAACATAATTTAAATCACCTAGATTATGTTTTATACTTGTGATGCACTTAGCCCATTATCTCTAAATATTTATACATACACTTGAGCACTTCACAATAACTAATATCATAAATGATAACTACCAATTACTAAAAAAATTTTAAAGGTCTTATTTACATTATTTCACTATGAAAATTAAAATTTAAAGTAACTATCCTTTCAGCTATATGGTATAATTAATTATCTAAACTCATTCCTATAGGTTCTGAATAACTGTTTTAACATGAGTCTCCAAATATTTGAAAACACACATGACTGGATCATGTAAGGGAACACTGAAACTGGGGGAGAAAAGATCAATTCTAGTGCTGTACCTACCACATTAAAAGTATGTGAACTTGGGCAAATCTCCTAAATTCTCTGGGACTCAGATTTCTTAATTATAAAAATGAGATAACACCTCAAGCTTAGTTTCACAGGATTGTTTTGAGAATCTGATGTAAACATTGATATGAAGATGTTTATAAAACATTAAAGAATAATATAATTACTGTTTTTTATGGCTCCTCTTTAGTTTCCAATCTTTATTTGAATGATTATCTTTTTTCAAATGGGCAATTCCACCCCTCTCTTCATCTTTATTCTTCTGGATTTCATATCTTGACCCCTTGCTAATGCACAAATTAGTAATCATTATTTTTGTTTCCATTTTTCTATTGAGACTCTCTAGCAATCTGTATCTAACAATCCTCCTCCTGACACAGAATAAACCAAAAGCATTTAAAATGTTGCTATTCTTTGTATTCCTTATCATCCTACTCAGGTAATCACTAGCATACTCTCAAAAATATCATCTAAAAAATTGTATTTTCAATGACTCTCTTTCAAGTAATCACATATGAAAAAAAACATGGCAAGTATTTAGAGTCTTAGAGATTTCCTTTCACACTTCCCTTGGTTGCATTCTGTTTCAGCAAAATGATTAACCTCTAAATCATTAGGGAAATAAAAGATCTGGGAATCATTTCAATGGTAGAACTCAAAGAAAGACCCACGGAATAAATGTAAATCGGTTTATAGTCCTAAAGTAATTCTTGGTTGCATGAATGGAACTCTCCTAAACTTTGAATTAGCAAATATAAACTCAGTGAAGACATACAGACTTAACATCTTTGTTTCGTATTTTTTTAGTACAGCCATGAAAATTAAAATTGCTTGCAGCAAGTAGAAATGGATTTTTTATCAGGCCAACAATAAGAAGCTCCCATGAGAATCTCAGAAAACAGAATGTTAACAGTAAGAAAAATTAAAATACTAAAACCAATTCCAAAGCATATTTGTGGAAGTGATTGTGAGACAGAACCATGAGCCTGTGGTACTTCTAAATATAAAATTGTGTGGGTGAACTAATATGAGTGATTATGAATGAACATCTACATCTCTACCTGTCCAGGCCAATTTATTTGTAAGATAGAAAAAATATCTGATAATCATCACATTGTCTCATGTACCTAATGCCTAACAGATTGACTGAGTATTTAATATGCAAGATGGTGTTAAGGAAGCCTGTCAAACCCATAGTAATTATCAATTAATAAAAAGTAATAAAATGGAATTTCTAATCACATATGCTATAAGTATGGTGATAGTCAAGACTGGAATAGCTTGTGATACCTCATTTTCTTCATAATAAGATTTATTTCAACTTTTCCCCAGTAGTATATCTAATTAAAACAAAGTTCTTTAAAATAGGTTTTTCTTTAATTTGGAAGAAAAGGCTTTTCCCAACTTAGAATAATAAAACTTAGAATAATGAATAAAAAGAACATTAGGATTATTTAGCATGTCTTTTCATTTACAGATAATAAAGAAAAAACTGACCCAAACTGATTTAATGACCCATCAGACCCCAACAGGCCAGATCTAAGAATCACATCACTTCTTGAGTCCAGTGCTGTTTCCATTACAATTTGCTGCTTCAAATATTTTTCCTTTTTGTTTTATTGTTTAAGGTAATGATATTTAATTATAAATATATTAAATTATATGTTAAATATATTTAATGAAAAATTCTCCTACAGACTAAGATAGTATTTCCATTTCTTCATCTGAAATACATTCTTATTTCTAAATTGGCTAATCTATTTTTTACAAGCATTCTATTTCTTTTTTTCTTTTCTTTACACCTCAGGATTAAAAATTGTTAAAAGCCCATTGAAATATTTTCTTTCCCAGAATGCTTTGACCTTCCAATTTGATTTCCCTACCAGTACTACACATCTTCAATGAATTTCACTATTTCAGTAACAAATCAATTCTAAGATTAATGATTGTAATAAGTGAATTAAATATCTTTAAGACAGCTTGTTGTCTTTAATATGCACAAATAGAATATAAGCTAAAAATGATGTCACTTTCCAACCCCTTTTAGAGCAGTCATTTCATATTACCAGTTCAACCTCTTTTTTTCCTGATATGCATGACAGATAACGAGAGCCATATCTCCACAGATATATGGAAGATTACCCAAAATTCACAAAGTTGTAGATTTATCCTTCTCTCATCAACTTAAGGAAGCACATAAGAATACAAGTGAGAGCAATGTCATTAACCATCAACCTTAAATTCCTTTTAATTTACTAAAAAAAATTATTCATTAATATCCATACTAAGTATTTTTAGTTACAAAAAACTGTCAACACACCACACACCAATTATGATATCCCAGGATATTTTGGTATGTATATATAGATAATTGTCATCTAGAATGACAGTAATTTGATAGGAGAAATAGGAAAGATGACAATAAAATTAGATTAGTGTTGAATACTTAAGTATTTACCTTAGATGAGGTAGCTAATAAGTAACAAAGGAGGGACTCTTGCTTCTGGCCATTACGTAGCAACTGGTACCTGACTTCCCCTCACACTGTAAATAACTTGAAAGTGGACAATATGCATGATGAAACTATTTTTAGGCATTGGAAATCAACCAGTGCTGAACTGTGACCATTGTGAGTAAGGAAGCACAAGAGATGAGCCCTATGTTCAACCCAGTTTTTGTCCAGGGGAACTTTCTGGACCGTAGTGTAGAAAGATAGAGTCCAAGCAGAGTTATGACAGTTTAGCTGAGATGAGAAGGCGAAGACTGAATAAGTTCTGGGCAAGAACCCACAAGGTCTAGTAGAGAGTATCTGTTACAGGCTTGTTAACTGAAGAGAGATATTAGAGGTCACACACTATTGGGAGATATTCTAACTCCAGGCAAGCAAGAGTAAAGAAATCTCACAAAGTACTCTGGGTATTCAACTGAGAACTCTGGAATGCTATGTTTTAGAAGAAAGGCTCAAAACCTAGTGTAAGGACCACACACTAGAACAAAGTACAAAACTGAAGTAGATCAGCTCTAATAAAGAATAACCCAAACCTATCTGGATCAAAAATTTTCCATATTTCCTGAGTGAAAATACCTCTTCACTCACTAGAAGAGCTAAATGTAAAATGACTGTCAAAATCAAATGCTGGCAAGGATGTAGAGCAACTGAAACTCTCATACATTGCCAGTGGGAGGATGTAATGGAACAACTACTTTGCAAAACCATTTGGCATTTTCTAGACAAATGAAAACATGTGTCCCCAAAAGCCTTCTATTATGGTAAGTGAAATAAGTCAGATAGAGAAGGACAGACACCATATAATTTCACTCATTTGTGGAATATAAAAAACAAATAAACAAACTAAAACAAAATAAATGAACAAACCAAACCAAACAAAAACATAGATACTGAGAACAGAGTAGTGGTTACCAAAGGGGAAGGGACAAGGACAGGTCGGGGAGGGTGAAATGGGTAAAGGGAATAAACTGTAAGGTAAGGAATAGAAAATAAATTTTTAGTAGTGAGCACGTTGTAGGATATATAGAAGTAGAAATATAATGCTGTACACATGAAACTCATATAATGTAATAACTCAATATTACCTGAATTAAAGATAAATAATGTTTTAATTTAAAAATAAATTAATTTAATTAAATAATCCAGTAAGGGTGTGTGTGGGAAATAGGAGGTATAAATGAAATAAAATGGTACATTTGTTAATAATTATTTTAAAAAATAAAAATTTTAAAAATGTAAAAAGAAAAGAACTACTGATACATGAAACAACATAAAATAATCTTAAAACCTTACACTGAGCAAAAGAAACTAGAAATAAGTGAGTACATACTGTATGATTCCATATTTATGAAGTTCAAAAGTAGACAAAATTTATCTGATATAGAAATCATAACCTTTGGAAAGTTAACACAAGGGAACTTTCTGAGATAGCAGAAATGTTCTATACCTTGATGCAATATTCATGGTTTAATCATTTGTTACAACTCACCAATATGCACATGTAAGATCTGTTCAGCTCAATGTATATACATTTTACCATAATTTTAATTATTAGGGAGAATTTAAGAGGATTATAGAGAAAATTCTCACTAGTCCAAAAAGTCCCAAAGAAACCTAATTATCTTCTTAAATATGCTTCTATGTTACTACTGGAACAAAATTAGAATGAAAGAAAATTAATGGGATACAAGTTAATTGAGATGGAGAAAGACTTCCTTAAGAGAAATGTTGAGATCTCAGAAGACAGGTTATATATATATGAAAGGAAAAATAAGACCTTGGAGGCCAGGAGAAAAAGAGAAATACAGCCAATCCTTTTTTATAAAGGAGAAAAACAGGGAAATGAAATGCTAGAGGTGTATCTCATTGGATAGACACAGAGGAAAAAGGAATTCTTCTCACAGCCTAAAAATTCATAAGCTGAGGTGATATGACTTTGAAGGTAACTGGCTTACAGTTCTTACTCAGGTCTTGGTGTGCAGTTTACAAAAACATCAACGGCAGCTTCAGCTCAGAAATCTGCTGAGGATGATTCTCCAGCTGAAAAATAAAATAGAGGAATGAGTGAAAAGCCTTTTTTAGGAAATAAGTTTATATACATAAGCAACTATAGAGCAAGATGCAATGATAACAGCCATTGTACATGACAAATGCTGACTTGCACTGGCTGTGAAAGCTAGTCACTAGACAAAAGGCCACACCTGTTGGCGCCTTTGGGGTATCAATAATACAAAGTTCAAAGAGGCAGTGAGAACAAAATGTTCTGAATATGCTATTTAAGAAAGAAAAGCCTTCAATAAGACCTAATGCTGGAGGCTTACATTATTACAAATACATAAATGCCTCAAATGCCCCTATCTGAGAGAAGTGGTATTTTTTCCCTTACATGTGGTAAATGCATAGTGCCTTTGAGTTCTCCAGACACCTAGTGAACCTAAAACCAAGAAGATATTCTCTACTTTCTTTCCTTTGGACACAATTAAATCCCTCCTATGATCTTTGGTCAACAGAAATGCACCAGCTTCTTTCTTGCTTTCTTCTCACAGACCATTGGCAAGATTGGTCCAATGGCCTATACTAATTTTAAGAGTGGTTATATAATTCTCCCAGGAGCCCCAATGGTCAAGCCACAAAATTAATGCTAGCCAATGGAACATTTTTGCAATGCCTAGGAAGACAGAATGTGGGAACCATTTGTGGTTAACAGATCAGCATCTATGGTCAGAGTGCCTGGGTTAGAATCCTGGCTCCATCATTCAACAACCATGCAACTTTGGGACAAATTACTTAATTTTCACATGCCTCCATTTCTCTTCTATAAAACATGGATAATAATACCTATTATGTATAATTGTCAAAAGGATTCAAAGAAATAATACCTGTAAGCATTTATCATGGATCCAGGCCCAGAGGAAGCATTCATTATGGATGTTGGATACAACAACTTAGTGTCCTCTGGCTGGACAAGTCTCTACCTAGAGTTGGGATGAATGATAAGCACTGTGCTAACTTGTTCTGAGCTTTCAGCCTTGACTGCACTTCTCAAAGTGAGAAATACTGACCCATTTAAAAAAAAAATCAAGAACAGGAAGATCTTTCTGATCTTCAGGGAGTCATCTTCTATGACTTTAAAGAAAGTTCAGCTAATAAAACAGAATGACTTGACAGAACAGATTTTTCTCAAATTCAATTTAAATCCATTTTAATGAAAAAATAATAGCAGCCATGGGCTTCCCTGGTGGCGCAGTGGCTGAGAGTCCACCTGCCGATGCAGGGGACACAGGTTCGTGCCCCAGTCCGGGAAGATCCCACATGCCGCGGAGCGGCTGGGCCCGTGAGCCATGGCCGCTGAGCCTGCGCTCCGCAACGGGAGAGGCCACAACAGTGAGAGGCCCGCGTACTGCAAAAAAAAAAAAAATAATAATAATAATAATAGCAGCCAACATTTGTGTAGCTGCCATTTGTTATGAACTTGACAAATTATCTCACTCAATCTTCACGAAAACTCTAGGAGACAAGTACTCTCAGTAACTGCATTTTACAGATGAAGACATATTTGGCTGAAAGGGATTACAAAACAAATCTCTAAGACATTGACATATATACACTAATATGTATAAAATGGATAACTAATGGAACCTGCTGTATTAAAAAATAAATAAAATAAAATTCAAAACAAAAAAAATCTCTAGGACACAGAGTTGGCAAGTAGCTGAACAGGGTATAAATTGAATCCATCTGACTCCATGAAAAGTTGAGTAAACTACTTAATTGTTCTATGTCTCGAGTCTTCCCATCTGTAAAACAGGGATAATTACAATTCCTTACTTATAGAATTTTTCTTAAGGAGTAAGCCAGTTAGTACATGCAAACTACTAGAACAGTGCCTGACACTGTTATAATTGTGGTAATTCTGGCCAAGTTGAGAACATCTGTGACCAAGAGTATCCACAGCTCTTTATTTCTACTAAAGAAATGACCTACCAGAAATGGTAGTGATTGTACGGGAAGATTCCCATCTTACCTAATTTTATTAGTGGTTACACTACAAGTCAGCAGAATAGAGTTTACACTCATCATAAGCCAATCACTGTGGAGAAATGAAAATCAGAACTCATTTGTCAGTACATGTAAAAGACCCCACTGGGACTCCTCAAAAACCTAGTAGTGGCTAAGAAAGATGGAGGAATAGGTGCATTTTCAATAGACTGGAATTTGAACCAAAGAAATTTAGGTTTGAGTGTGATGTGGCCTGAGAACATCTGGGTCATAGCTATTTTATGACAATTTAATCAGTCCTACTAATGAAAAATCCATCCATCTACTGCATGTAAGCTTATTGCCAGAGTATGCCAGCCATCCAAGATGAAGAACTAAGAAACACAGTCCCAAATAACAGCAGAACATTACTCAACTTGGTGTATGTAGCCCAAAAAGCCTGCAGCTTTAATAGGATTATGTTTAATCTGAAAGGACACCACTAGAGATAATGTAAAACATTGAATGGCCTGAAGTGGCAGTGAAATTATTCAAATCCTGGACTGGAGGAGCTCTTAATCAGGGCCCCTGGAATGCTGCAGTAATTTAATAAGTTTAAATTGGTTTCACTTGGATAGATCCAGATTTGTGTTACAGATGTTATCCCACCCAAATCTCCTGTACAGGTTCATCAAAAAGGGGATCATGCCTAAGCAATCTGTGGAAATTTAAAGAGAATTAAATTCCAGAGCTTGAATCTGAAAAGAGAAATGTGTCAGATAGAAAGGCTTACCAAAGTAAAAGCCTGTGAATGTGTTAATTTTAGACAAAATAAAAACATCACTGATGCTAAAGGATATTGAATTTTTTTCCTTTTAATGAATTATAACATTTTAAGATAAAGATGTTAAGTATATACATTTAAGACACAACTATAAAAATTAATACATACAAAATTAGTAAATTCAACTGGATCAAAAAGAGATGCACACACAATAAGAAACACAGTATATAGAGTATCAATGAAAATGCAAAAAGTTAGTCTTCATGCAAAAGAGAGAATAGGTGATTTTTAGGGGGTCAGAAGTTCTGCACAAGCAGTCTCTGCTCTTAAGCTGTAGAACAAAAACAATTCACATCTATACTGCTGAACTGAAATAGGATTTTAAATGCCTATCACCAGGTATAAAGGAACTCATCTCACTTCCAAATGGAGAACACTGAACAGGACAAAAATTAGTTGATTAATTATTCATCAGCATTACCAACACTCTTATAATACATATTTCAACTCTCAGTATGAAATACGCTGAGCTATTGCCCACATTTTCTCACTTTCACAAGGGCATTTGCTAAGTGCCTATTAAATGAATGTAACTAATCATGGTAGATGTGTGTAAATTGTGCATAAATGTATCAAAATTCAAATCACCACTCCATTCAACTCATAACATCCAGCAGGTGGTCTGAAGAACATTTTAGAACAACAAATCTGCTAAGCAACCTCTATCACCAGCTGAATAACTTTCAGCAAGAATCTTAATTATATGCAGGTGCAGATGACTACCCATAATACAGTTAAATGGCCACATCTCAGGTATCAAGTATGGGTAATTTTGGAGCCAGGGATGGAAGGAAAGGAAACTAACCTTTATTGAACAAAGTTCCTGAGATAAAATGACTTACTCTACATCATAAATGACCATGATAGCTGGAGTTTTAACCTAGTTCAGTGGACATCAAAGTCCACACTTTTCTCTGCTTCCTCACAATGTCTTTCTATTGTACATAACCCATTGAATCTACTTTGAAATATGCCTCTTTTTGAATCTCAACTCATTTCTCCCTCTGGCTGCCCTGTTCAAATCTTCTACATTCTAGTTACTCCCAGTAACTATAGCTATCTTTTCAAAGTACAGCTATGGGGTTTCCAGATTCATCATGGTATAATACAAAAATATATAGCCCCTCTTCTCTCAAAAATCACCAAAATATCAAAGATCTAGGACAGAAATGCAAATCCATCTTTGAAAAAATCCCAGGTGGCATCTGTGATCCCAAACCACAAAGTATGAAGATGGAAGAAATATGGGGAAGAGGTAAAATTATTTGTCACAAAGGACGAAGAGCAATCCTACATCCCTGGACAGCGGGTATTTCAGTGGGTTCAACTCCACAAGTTTCAACGTTTCCTCATCTATAAAATGGAAATGATAATAGTACCTAACATAGCATTGTAATAAGAATGAAATGAGAAAAGAATGTGGTGTGGGATATAGAAATACCTATAGAAAACCTCACTGGAAGTTCATTAGATACATCAAGGCAGATGGAAATGCAGACCTGAAGTTCAAAAGGAATGCCAGGGCTGCTGGTATATAGACTTGGGAGCCATTGACACATAAGTGAGAGTTGAAGCTGTGTGAATGAAATATGTGGGAGAGAGAAGAGGTACAGTAGATGGGACAAATAAGCACTCAAGAAATCAAAATTATTACAATAACATTTATAACTACAATAGTTTAAAAATAAGAACTATTGCAAGGCACTGGGCTAACCACCTCACATCATTTCTCCTTATTTCTGTCAAAAGCTACTTTTGGTAGATACTACTGTTCTGATTTTATTGATGAGAAAAATGAAAATTACACAATAACTTTTTATAGCTATTATTATCTTTCTAAGCTATAACTGGAATGTAAGATTATGTGCCACTTAGTATGTGTTGGGCTACATTGTGCTGCCAGAGATAGAAAGCATTAGCCAGTCAATTAGCCAAGCAAATGCAAGGGATGAATACAGTAAAGTGCAGATGGACAGCAGCTCAGTAGTACCTGAAAAATGAAAGAAGGGAGAATCCTCGGGTGAGAAAGATTTGAGCATGTCCAGATTCCTTCTAGTGTATGGTGATGACCTCTTCTTTAGGAATATGACTTTAATAAATGGCTGTACATGTACATCAAGGAGCTGGACAAAGAGAGTGGCATAAAAACAAAAAAAAACAAAACTGTGTAGATCAAGGTGGGCTAGATAGAGACTGGGTGGGTGGAATATGCCAGAAC